CAGTCCCTCAGTCACATTGCATCAATTCCGGGTTGTTTTTCAGGGGTGAGGAGAGCGGGACGGGGAGAGGATTTTGAGTTTCTTGAAATGGTCATGGATACTGCTGGGAAATTCGCTTTTCGTCCGTTTTAAATGCCTAGCGAAGCGTTCTACCATGCAAGATTCGCATTAACCAGAGGCGACTCAGCAAAGGCAGAAAACAATACGCGTCGACAACACCGGCACGGAGCAGGACTACGCACCTCGGCGAGCGTCCCTGGACGGCTAGCAGCTTTTACGTGCCTGCCTTTGGGCTCTGGAAATATCTTCCCGAACTACAAGGAGCTGCCTTCAGCAAGCACTTCCATAGGTGCCAGCCCGCGGGAGGCTGGTTCTGCAGCTGGGAGGCTGCACAGAGCCCCGGGAGGTCACTGGAAACCAGCAGCAGTTCTTTCCCTCTCAATGTCGCTTCGCAGCCCTCGCCGCCGTCGCCGCCGTTCAGCCGGATGAAGGAGAGGCGTCCTTCGGGCGTCCAGCGTCAACTGATGAAAAAACCCCACCCCTCCAAACTCAAAACAGCCTTTTTTTGTGAGTCCTAGAAAAATGCCGATTTCTAACGCTCTCTACAACTTTAGATTTAAGATCACATGTCCGTTTTGTGTTGATTTGCGTAGGAAACTAGACTGTCATTTTAAAAGTAACATTACCATTACTTTAAAATGACATGGGCCTCTGCTTTTTACCTGGGAATCGACATGTGACGAAACATTGGTCAATGGCCTTGCAAGCAGGCCTCTGGGAAAAAAAAGACCATTAGAACGGTATATTCAAAATATTCACCAAGAGGGGACAAGGAATATGACTTCCAACGAATTTATAAAACCAGGAAGGTAATAGATGATGAGTCAGGGAAAATGTCAGTGCAGGGTTACAATTTAAAGATGCCAACATCATGCCGCGTCATACAGGATGAATCAGGTAACAAAGGTCTATCTATGACCAGCTGCAAAACAGAGGAGCTGCCCTCCCAGCGCCTGATCAAATGTTACGGGAGACAAAGCCAAAACCAGCGATTTTTGGTCCAAGAGTGATCAAAACCACAGGCAAGCATTGCATGGGTCAGATTAGTCTTTATGCCTGGCTGCGGTGTTTGAGGGAAAGCAGTTACTGATTTTTTGCTGCTGGTTCCAGGTGGGAAAGTCCCCCAAGAGGCACAGGTGAAGGTGGTAAAGGTCAAAGAGGGAGCAGGAGGCTGGGCTGCCTCTACCTTGATTCTTGCACAGGCTCCCACATTGCTCCCTTCCATCGAAGTAAGAGCTTAACTGATTTTTAGATCATTAAGCCATATTTGAGAGATGAAATAAGATTAAAGTGAGAGATAATACTTTCATTAGGGGTACTCATCTATGCTCACTACATCGGGAAAGCTGCCTTTTAAAATTAGGGGTTTATAAAGCTGGAAAAAGCTACAAGAGTGGAGCTATTTCATCTTTCAAATTATTTAATGACTTTGTACTATAGACCTTTTGTGGTCTACAAAAAAAGCAATTTTTTGCTTTGGGGAGATTACAGTACACATATAAACCCCATGCATTTTGATGCTTCTTAGCTACAGCGTCACGATGAAGACATGAGACGAGACATAAAAAAAAACCCAAAACCAAGAAAACCCTAATGTGCAGCAAGCATACGCATGAAATACTAGGACACATCTCGAGTTCGTATGTCAGCCTCTTGCCTTCCCAAGTTGAAAGTCACTTCCTTCATAAGCAGCTTGATGAAGTAACCAGGGCTCACAACTGCATCGTGCCGTTGGGAGTCCACCAAGGTCATTCCCAGGGTCCAAAAGCACAAGGTATACACATTCAACAGACACCACCTTTTAGGTGTTCTGGAGAATTAACAGCCTATGTGAGCAGTGACAACTGCAATCATACCTAGAGATGCAACTCATCTCTGAAGAGGTGTTTTACCTTTTTGTTTTTAATACACTATTAAGTGTGGGACTAGAAGAGGTACACCAACAGGACAGCAGTGAAACAGCACGCAACACAAACGGTTTGAGAGTTCCCTGGTGGGGAGAGGGCTAGGATATTTACCAAAAAGCCAGCTTTAACTGGAATTGAAGCCTTGCTCTGTGTGTGCATGCGCACATGTATGGAGGCCTGCAAGACTGACTTTTGAGATAACAAAGTCCCACCTGTATGTGGGTTAAGAGCTTTTATTTCCGAACACGAGGTGAGACCAAGAGAAGAGTAATGGAGAAGACTCCTTTAAGGTCTCGACACACACAGAGGTCAGTAATTCCTAGTTTTACACTGTTGTATCACTTCCCATTCTTCTGGAATCTGAAATAAATCCCGAACATGCCTCTGAATCATCAGGTGGGTGCTTCAGAGGCTTCGAAACAACTTGGAGCCATTGCAAGAAAGCACTGACAGTAGTCCAAGTGTTGTGACAGTCTTTCACAAAACTGTCACCCACACATAGAGAAACTACAAATTATTTTTTCTCCTTTACAGTTTTTTTTTTAAATGGATTTTATCGTAAGAAATTGTATCATCATTCCTAGTATAATTATTGAAAACACATGGCAAAAAGCTTGTGGCAAAGCCAGTTTATTAGGTTTCTGGGATTGTGTCTTGCCCTCCCCCCAACACATACAAAATAACCCAACTTTACAATTTGGTAAAGTGAAAACACGTATACGAAGTATTCGGTACCTTTGACATCAATGCTGTGGGCAGAAGATTACCACTGAAAGCCAGGAAGCATACTGAATCCTGCATTAACGACCACGCGACCTTTGCCGCAGAACCATTAAAACATGCTTTGTGCTGAAGATGAAATTACATACTGAAACACTGTTTCCATACAACTTTAATGACATGAGGGCCCTTATTTACAGGTGGTGAATAACTCAAGTAAAGCTTAACAGATTTGCAGATGTTCGATATCAAATTTAACAGTAACATCGTAGCTACATGATTTCCCTACCTCAACCCCCAACCTGACTGACTGACCTTGGAATTCTTCATTCTATTTTTTTAATAATAATAATGATAAAAAGAGAATGTTTGTTTGCTGACATACTTATTTTACAAATAGTTAAGATGGATCCTTTTGAGAAAAAGGATTAAGGACATTAGCGAAAAACAAATTGTCCAGAAGGACTGTAAACCATATTTATTTACAACAGTATGCACATAAATTTAAGATCAACCCTTTTCTTAAAAAAAAAAATCATTAAGGACACTAGTGTTAAAAAGCTGATTGTTTCTGAAACCAAATTCTAGTCACGTAAGGTTCAGAGTGAATACAAAAGTTCCCTTTTACAAGTGTGTCCTAAACAAAATTACTGTCACAGTTTTAGCAGCTTTACACAGGAAAAAGAAATACTACCTTTTGCTTAGATTCTTTTTAAACACCTTAATCGTATTAGGCCAAATTTAATGCTCTTTTTAAATCCAGAAAAAAGTCAATGCATTTCTTTTGTCACTATAACTTGCAATACAATTACATCTTATTAACTGTAATAGTTCAAATAATATTAGTTATCTTGTTTCAATAATTTGCTTCTAATGTGATCGCTAGGGCAGCAGCTTCTGAACTGGCCCTTCTGTTTGGTTTCCAGTCAGCATCACACACCGCACATTGGAAATCAAAAATCTTAATTTTTACTTCAATTCCTTTAAAAATGAAGTCACGAAACATTGTTTGGCATGGCATAAAAATGAAGTCATAGACTGCATTCTATGGCTCACATTTTGCTTTATGTAATTATGTGCAGCCTAGCACCATTTTTATTATGAAACTGACCTTCAGACAGAACTGAAATAGAACGGTTGCAATTATGAGAACACATAAAAAGGTGGTTCTAGAGGAGTAATTTCCCTCATCTGACCCAACACATTACTAACTCACATTAGTAATGCCAAGGATGCCCCACATATAGCCATGACATTACACAAGCAGGTTTTAGCTCAAAAAAACTGTAACAGACAATGTATTTGGCAGATTTTCTCCAAATTTCAAGATCTAATTTATTTTGTATTCAGAAGTCTTTTAAGGAAGTCCCATATTCCTAACATTTTGTCCTAAGCATTTCCATTCCTAAAATATGTTACCAAGTTGGTTGTAAAAAGCTTCTTCATGAAAAACATTCATCATCACTAAAATCCTCTGAAACCTCCACCTTGGAAAACCAGTATGCTTTTGCCAACTTCACTCAATCTTTTGATTGAGCTATGGACAGTTATGGTCCCAAATTTACCCCAAATCCTGTGCTACAGTACTCTCCATAAGAAGGAATGCATAGTTTAGTTTTACATGCTAATTATGAAAAAATTAATAAAGTTTTAAGTATCAAATAATTGTCTAGAGGTAGGGACAAGTTTGTCAATTCTCTTACCATTGCCATGAAGAAACAGACAAAGTTTACAGTGGAATGACAGGCCAAGTGCTAGCAGTTTGCACCTACACCGACAGCGCAAACTTTATCTGGCAGTCCTGGGTTTTGTTTTTATAATAAAAGGGTACTTGCTTAGCAATTTGCTAGCAGTGACCAAATATTCCTTCATATGCCAGAAACCTTCACTTGCTGATGCAAAAATCAAGTTATCTGGCTGCCACAAAACACATTTTCTCCTACATTGCACCAATGCAAGTAGCATCCAAAAATGTTAGTAAGCTGGCTTACTATTTATAACCTTACCCCAAGTGATGAAAACAATCTCAGGCAGCAAGAGCTCAAGTATAATTGCTTTGTCAAAACTTCACTTGAAAGTTTACTTTCCTGTATATTTATAGCGAAACGTTCGTAACTTGGAAAGTACAATTACAAAGTGCAAGAACATGAGATGGGCAAATCTACACCAGAAAAAAAAAAAACCACCACCACCACCCACGTTAAAGTGCCAAAGAGATTCGCTATAATTGCTACCAAAACCTGGATCTTTGCCAAGATCATAATTTCTAAGCATCTGCAAACAAGACAAGGTGATAGCTGATAATAGTATGATTTAACACCAGCAGGTCATGGCAGGTTTTGGTTCAGGCTTTATATGTATTTCATCTCGATCTGGGGGTTGACTAAGCATTAATGGCTTGTGACTTTTAAGCTTGTGAGCCAGTGTCATAAATATGGCCTCCACATGGTCATTGTCATTCGGGTTTTTGGCAGAGGTTTCAAATAACGGCATACTGTGAGTATCAGCAAACTTCTGGGCCAAGTCCGTAGGCACCTGAATAGCACTTCTCAGGTCACACTTATTTCCAACAAGAATCCGTGGTATATCATTGGCAAGAAGGTGTTGTTTGCATTCCTCTATCCATGATGGCAGACTGTGAAAACTGGCAATGTTTGTCATATCATACACAAACACGACAGCATGTACATTCCTGTAATAGTGCTGCACCATGCTCTTTCTGAAGCGCTCCTGGCCTGCTGTATCCCATAGCTGGATCTGAAAGGGGAAAGACAATGAGAGAAAAATTGTTTTATTACTCACGTTGGAAAATAATAGAAATCACCTGGAGCTAGGGGAGTCACACAATCACAGGGACCCACTCTGTACTTAAAAGTTTGTGCTGAAGAAAACTGTTGCTTTTGAAGAAAAGAAATTTCTTCAAAGAAGAAGAAATTGTAATGCAACCTGATCACAAATACGGATTTCTGAAAGTGTACTGGAGCATGTATTTTGCAAGGTGTTTACAAAAACAAATCCTGAAGTCTTGGCAGTAGCACTTTTATTTGAAAAAAAACCATGTATTTCACAGCAGAACTCTCAGCTGATACAATTTTTTTTAATTGCCAAAAATAACACCATCTTCCCCAAAGTTTTGTTCTTAGCGTGACGTTAACTGCCTATTGTGGCACTATATAAAAGTAGGAAGAAATCAAACCACGCATGAATAACAGCACCACCAACAAAAACAGGACAAAGAAATCTTTCTCTGCAGTGTATCTATTGGAATCAAACCCTCCTGTGCTGAACCTCGAATGTAAGCTTATTTAGTGCTTAAACTAGGACCATACTGCGGTTTGTAGTATCAAAGCATGCATAACAGGAAAAAAAACAAAAAAAAAATTTAAATAAAAATAATGCACAAACTTCCTATTAGCTTAACATGCTACTACTGTTTGCAGGTACACATCATGCTATCCCAAATAGACTGAACATATTTGTTTGAAGCCTAGTCAGTCTAACAGAGAAAACACATTCATAAGAACTGAAATGCTTTCAAACTTCTTGGGTCCAGATTAGAACAAAACAAGCCTTGAAACACAAGCAGATGTAAGGAACAACTAATACAATTTTTAATGCCTCAATCATTCAGGTATAATGGAAGCTTGGAGTCCTCAGATGCATAGAGTACGCTACAGAATTGTGCACTTATTGGACACAGTGATGTTTTAACAAACTTGCTCTCCAGGAGACACAGGACTGCAGGATACAGCAGCCAGGGCCAGTTCACCTACAACGCTAGACTAACTGTATGCTGTAAGAAATAAACTAGTGTGTGGCTCTATCACACACACCTTAGTGATGGTGTTAACACAGATGGTGTTAACAACATCCAATTTCTTGCGTCAAAGCTGAGTCCTAGCACCCTGTCTGTCCTGTACAGCGAATCCCTGACAACTGAGGCAGTTTGATTAGTATTTTAACTTTTGAGCAGGAAATGTCAGAAAGAAATGCTTCCGCACTGGGAAAGAAAGGAGAATTTTTCTTCAGACTCAGTATTCAACGGAGTATTAAATGTTCTGTAAATGGTGAAGGTAAATTTAAAATTCAATCTGTTTCCATGAAAAGTACATCTAATATCTTCCTTTGATGAAACTGTACTCCCATTACCATAGTTCTGCATTCCTTTGATCCAAATGTTTCAGTAAAACTTACTTAGAAATTGCAAGCATCATGAAAGTTGCCTTGTTTACCATTTTTACCAGTGACTTCGATATTAAAAAAAAAAGGAACGCCAAGTGCCAGGGAAATTTGCTGATGGCAAGAAACTAAGATGCAACACAGGGAGAGGAGGATTACAGTATCACGTAAAATCCTTTTTGAAAGCTGTAACAGTAGAAATAGGGTGAAACTGAATAGAAGCAGATGCAAAGTCTTGACAACAGTGACTAATAATAAAGACTTTTCCTGTAAGTGCAGGATTCATCAGTTTGGAAAGTATTAAAATGCATGACGATCCAAATACACGAGTCAATCACAGGATGTTATGAATCACTAATGTGATAGAGTGAAGGAAAAAAGAGTAAGTGATGTTTCAGGATGGTGTGATTTTTCTGCAATATTATGTTCAACCTTGGTCACCCATCCTCAAGAAAAACTCACATTGGAGCTGGTAGAAATGGCAGTTACTGGTTTCATCAGGAGAACTGAGAATTTACATGAGAACCTCAGAACAGCTTGGCTTCTGTAGTCTAGTCCAGTTATCTGCAGCTTCTGATCCGCAAACTTATAAAGATCCCTGTGCTGCTTCTAAAAGGGTCATTAAGATTATTAAGAAAAGCAAGGCAAGTCGCCCTAGCCTCTGATTGCAGAGATGGTGGTCAATTGCAATCCATCTCATTTTAGATCAAACACCTGCTTTTTGCCAATGGTATTACACTCTAAACGCAATTGACTGCGTCTCCACAGTCTGCTAAGGGAGTCTAGACAATCTGATTAAACATAGGCACCTCAGTTTGGGAAAGATCCATTCACCTACCCAGATAAGAGATACTTCTAGTTCTATGTACTTATAAAACATTATAAAATCAGGAGACTCATGAAAAAATTTCATCAATTTGGAATTTCACAGATTAGTGAGAGAAGAAAGCAGCACAGACTGAAGTAATCCTTATGTTCAGACAACATAGTGTTAAGGAATCACTATAGATAATCTTGGAAAATGCTGTATCAAATTAAATTAAAGAGGGAGCTCATTTTCACAAGCAGCTGTGATCTTACACTTCTCTCCCCACCTCATTCAGAGAGCAGAAATCAGTCATGCTTCAGTCAAGCACAGGTCCGCAAGTGTATTACCAGCCTCGGGTAGAGAAGGGGAAATTAAATTAAAGGTTTACATATCTTACAAGTTAAGCTTCAACTACAGTTCCTCTTAAATTTTATATTTACATGCAGCTTTCAAGCTTGAAGGGTATTACCTCAAATTAGAAATGTTAATATTCTTGGCATGGAATCACTTGCACTGAGAGACAAATCCTTCCCCAAGACTGAAAATTTCACACTTTATGAGTTTCTTTGTAGCTCTTACCAGGTGAGCTTGAGGAGACCATTCCATTTCTGGCCCCCCAAAAATATCTGCGCCACTGAAAATGTTCACATTAATAGATGTGCCCTGATTAATTAACATTAAGATTACTGTTTCATTTTTAGTTCAATACCATCCATCTTCAAGGGAGCACATTTTTTATAATAGCCCTTTAAAAGGTGCGATTTGAAAATTTGGGTTAACAGCATAATTCAGCTAATAAAACTGTGGTCAGATTCACTTTGTCACACTCCCTAGGAAAGACAAATGGTACTTAAATATACTGCCTCAGCTATCACCTCCCACCTTCTGATTCCTTTCTATGGATCCAGAAAGGCTGTTTTCCAAACAAGGACTCCCTTAGCGTGTACAGTTTGTAACACGCTGGTAAAAACATAACTGGCCTTTAATAAAGTTAAAATGGTAAAACTGTGTCTCCTTTCGCAAGATGGGGGAAAAGAACTTGAAGAGCTCAAAGCTACAGAAAATGATGTTTGGACTTTCTTTTTTGATTTTCATTTGCATCTTTTGCTCTTTTAATGTAGGTCAGTAAAGAGGGACATCATTGTTTTCTTCGATTTTCAATGCTTAGATCAATTAAGGAGGAGGAAAATTTAGAATGCAAAAAATTCATTGGTTGAAAACTTTAATTTATTCATCACAGCTAGGCATTGGTGTTTCATACGAAGCTGGTAGCCTACTGGGCAAGCTACAAAGGAACACACTCATCCCTATGTCTTGGAATTTTACACAATTCCTGTGTGGGAGACCCCCGGTGAGAAGAACTGTGCTTGTGTTCCTGCCAATGACACAGCATTTCTCCAGCTGCGAGGGAAATGCTCAGTACTGTACAGCACAAGAATGACCATCCAGCTGGCTGGGGGAAGGGAGGAGAGAGAAAAGCGCTACTTTATAATCTCCTTCAACCCAAGAGGAAAAATTCCTCTGCTCAGCAAGCCCTTCAGGACACAGCAAGAACAGCAGTAATTCGGTTCATCTGAGCCTCTCTCTTTCCTGGTTCAACAGGCATTGCTGGAGCTCACTGCTACCAGCAAGAAAGATGAAGATGAGTGAATAGAGGTGGCAAAACCCAAAAATTGGTGCACACTTGACGACGCACAGCATCCCCCTAAGAGCTAGAGTCCTGGCCACAATGATAAAGTTTGTTCCTTTTAAAGCTGAAACAACATGTCTCGTAACAGCCTCCTTCAGTTCTCCGCCTCCCTCAACCAGAACTGGTATATTCAACGGGTAATATTATCAAGAACGCAGAAAAACAACCTATCACAACATATAACAAAATGGCACAATAACCTATGTGAAGCATCTCAGAACTGTGGATTAGGCTATGTTCTTCTTCACTTCTCTCCAACAAAAGGCATAATCCAGAGGTGGTGAAAATGTCAGTCAATCAGATGGTGATGACAAGAAGATATCCCTCAGGAGGTTCTCTCCTCCTTCATGGACAGCAACAGACCTGGGAGTACAGAATCTCAGCTATCAGCCAGGGAAGTGCTCTTCAGTAGTTTTATAAAGAAAAACAGTACGAAAGACTCTTACTCATTTTTCTTTTTTAGTTAAAAAGAAGGATACAAGGTTGAGAAAAATAACACAAGAGGAGGAAAGCAAACAGACTTATATGCCATCCCCAATTTCTTTAATCAGTAAGAAAGAAAGGAGAAGCTACAGCTTTTGGCTACATGACTGTAAGCTGTAATTACAAAGCCTGGTGATAATAAATGCAAAAGTACAATTCCAAGAGTGCTGCTATTCCCTTTTTCTACACATTATTAAACTTTGATCATCGAAAAAGCCTGCAATACAGAAGTAGAAGGGGATTCTGTTTAAAACCATGTTACTCCTAGCAAACACTGCATTTGTAAGCAGCTAGCAGCCTAATCTGCAAATGACTGTTCATTTCACCACTAACATTCATGTATCCCCTGGGCAGATCAGGTATATTTCATAAACTTTTAAAATTTGCTTTAGAGTGCAAAGAAGGCAATAAGCATTTTTTCCTCCAATCCAATCTTTCACTAAACTTAGTTGTGTAAGACTGAGCTTTAGGTAAACCTATAACTAGAGTGAAAACCAATGGGCAAATCTGAGCTACATATCCAACCTGTCACTGTCCAGTTCTGGACCACATTTGCCTTGACATGCAGCAATCTTAACAGAATGCTAAAAAAAAAAGTATTTAAAATTTGTAACGCATTGCTATCGCTGATGCAGCAGCTCCCTCCTGAACAGTGTTCAATTTCTTAACGGCTCATTTTTAAAGCAAAACGCTCCTAACAGTGGCATCTGCATAGCTTGTGGACTTGAAGGTTAAGCCAATTCACTGTTATCCTTGATAAACACACAGGCAGAATTTCTGGGAGGCAACAAGCTGCTGGTACCAGGCACAGCCAACACTAAATACTAGTAAGAGATCTACCTAGAAGTCCATTTTATGGAGCAATTGTTGATTAACACCTACCAAAAGCTACGCAAAGGTTTGGGCGCCGGTAGCAATTTTTAATCCTCGTAGAAACCTACATAGTAATTACATTTCCAACAGGAGCAAGGCAAAAAGAGTTTTAAACAAAGTTGCAGAGCAGATACAGCCGAGGCTTGCAGCTCTGCGACGCAACCGCGCTGAACTTCTGGGGTATGGAAGCGTGACGTGAGAGCCTACGAACCCTACTGAGAAACACCACACCTGCGAGCGGCAGGGGGGAGCTCCCGGGGCCTTTGGAAGCGAGCTGTTCAGGCGCTGGCAGCGGCTCACCAG